TAGTAAAATAAAACAAAATAAAAAATAAAAAACCATTGAGTATACTTCAAGATATGAGATAACTTAAAAAAAAAAAAAAAAAAATTTTATTTAACACCCTCTTCCTTGTTCACCAAATGCCAAAACGCTTGGAAAAAGATAGCTAGCGAGCATGGACACAACCCCCACCCAATACTCCTAAAGTGCAAAAATATTTATTAATGCATATAATATATTTTTTTTAAATGCACATAAAGGTGTATCGCCCCCACCTCAACCAACCAATCAAAGAATCACCCAACACAATAATCCCACTCAAAACTATATACAGAACATTCATACGAATGAACTCTGACAAAAAACTAACCACAACCACAAAAGGACAGGAAATCCTCATAATCAAAGGATTCTCCCTCCCGGATACCTTCACCACAAACTCGCACACAACTCCCCATCACCCCCACCACATTATACGCCACAACCAACAACATTAACTGACTAGCTAAACTAGAATACCACAAACTAATCAGAAAATCAAAACAAGACTTCGGTCCAAACAACTCAAACATTCAAGTATATCAATCCAAATGGCTGAAGAAGCTAGACGACTCCAAACTCATCTGGAACCACCAAACCTGGAACTTCTCAACTCCATCCCACCTCACTAGCAAATAAACAAATAAAATCCATTTGAGTATTCTTCAAGATATGAGAATACTTTAAAAAAAAAAATATTTTGTTTTTTTTTAAGTAAAAATTGATTTTTTAAGTTTTATTTTTATTTTTTATTTTTTTTTTTGAAAAAACGATTTGTTGACTCATGATCAGACAACAAATTGCAGGTATTGATATAACCTGCTAGTTCGTGTTTTATATTATATATACTTTCTCACACAGGCCGTGAGAAATAGCCAATAAATATTATTGTTTATAGTTATTATTAATTAATAAGTTTAGTATTAGGATAGAATAGATCTAACAGTAGTTGAGTGTTGATGAAACACAGTATAAAGTGATGGCACGTAGTTGGAAGGATTTAGATTCCAATCAGATTTAAATTTACGCATTATTGCAGAGCAATCGACAGTGATTCCTTGGGAGATAG